TGTAACTTACAAAATAAAATAATAAAGATATAAATACAATACAATCATCTCAAAATTGAGTACTTTCACAGTACTTAGTGGACATCAATCTAAGCACTTCTATTTAAGTATATTTACCTGGCAAAGAGTACCACAGAAATCAATGTGATCTTCTAGCCAATAGGGTTTGTTTTTCAGTAAGGTTAGGATCACACTGTCAGACTGCTTAGAGACTAGAAATATTGAAGATAGCACTAATTGCTCCCTCGTTATCAGCCATCTAGGGCATTACCGGTGGAAGAAATCCCTTTGTTTTTGCATTTATAGGACATAAACTGACTTTTCTCTCTAAATACTCAACTACGGAAGAAAACTGGGTAGTCTGACTCAATTCAAGTCAATTGGAGTGATTTCCGAAGTTAAGAGGAACCAAATTCCACGTGGCACATACAATTGCCACTTGCAACTGCTAAACATACAAACAGACAAATAAACTGCCACTAGGGAGATTATGCAAGCAAACAATGATCACTATCATAAAGTTCAGAAACATTTCTTCCATAATCCCTTAAGTAGAAGAGTGGGTTGTGTACTATATAAAATTTATTATTTCTGTATTTATATATTCTTTCTAAATGTCAAACACAATCTTTCCAGAAAGGTAAGGCTAATTTGTTTCTGCTTTTCTTTGTTGAGTGTGTTTTATGCATTTCTGGAGTATAACTAATACTGTACATAAATACTGTATGTATAAAATCTGCTCAGGGAATTTGTGTACTAGTTTCTTCTTACATGCTTTCAGCTGACCATTCTGGAGAAAATCTTAAAACAACATCTAAGGCAAATAGGGCAGCTATTCCACAGAATTTATAAAGAAATCAGTCATGCTCGTGAAATCTAGATAGTTAGTGTTAGGTATTCTAATAACTTAGCATTCTGATAACTTAGAATCATGAAGTAGGAAGGGGCCTATACCCCCTGGTCTGTGCAGATACTTGTGAAGTGGTTGTCTAAATTTCTCTTGAATGCCTCCAATATTGGCGCACTCACCACCTCTCAAGGGAATTGGTTCCACTGTCTTACTGCTCTAACAGTTAGGATGTTTTTCCTGATATTCAATCAAAATCTGGCTCCCTGTAACTTGAGCCCATTGTTGTGTGTCCTGCACTTTGAGATGACAGAGATCAAATCCTGCCCCTCCTCTGTATAACAGCCTTTCAAGTATTTGAAAAGTGCTATCATGTCTCCCTGCAATCTTTTTTTCTCATGGCTAAACATGCCCAATCCTTTCAGTCTTTCTTCATAAGGCTTGGTTTCCGTGCCCCTGATTATCTTTGTTGCCTTCCTTTGAACTTGCTCCAATTTGTCAGCATCTTTCTTAAAGTGTGGTGTCCAGAATTGGACACAGTATTCAAGATGAGGCCTAACCAGTTGCAAATAGAGAGGAACTAGTACCTCATGGGATATGTAGACTATACTTCTGTTAAGGCAGCCAAAAAATAGCATTTGCCTTTTTTTTGTAGCCATAATCACACTGTTGGCTCATATTCAGCTTGTGATCTATGACTTCAAGATCCTTCTTGCTTGTCGTACAGTTGAGCCAGGTATCCCCCATCTTGTAACTGTGCATTTGGTTTCTTTTTCCTAACTGCAGTACTTTGTACTTCTCTCAGTTGAATTCCGTTCTGTTGTTTTCTGCCCAGTGCTCAAGCTGATCTAGGCTGGATCCTATTTTAACCTATTTAACCCCTCAGTCATTTCTCATCAGTGTCCAATGACAATCAAATGGACGTTTTAGCAAATAAACCCAAAGCTCGGACTTTTCTTAAGTAGACATTTCTAAGTAGACAAGGTACAAGGAAAATACACCTGTGAGTTGAATAGTTCTGAAAAGACCAGGACACCTCTAAATATGGACTACATGTGATAATAACTTTAGAAAAAAATTGGGCACAGAAACAAAAGAAGTTTTAAAATAACTACAAGAAGTAGTATAGTTGAGTAAACTGGAGTGCCTGGTTGCAGAGCTAACACTGGGACTTTGAATTCCTCTTGGACACTGCCAAGTATGTGTGGCAGATGGAGTCATGTTCCCTAACACTGTGTAGCTCTGGGCAAGCTACTTGGTCCCAGAATGTCGCTAGAAGAATGTAAATTGGAACAGACTTCATAGCAGATTATTGTTATCAACCACAGCTTTCCAGTTAATTTATTAGTTCATTGGTTAATCGACTTAGGGATACTTTATTATGTAGTCTTTTCTTATCTTTGATGGTGCCACTTCATACCTGTAACACAAATAATGACATATAAATTTGGCACTCAAAGGGATGTGTTTACAATGTTTACAAGCCTTTAGCAATACAGTGGTGCCTCAACTTACGAATGTCCCAACTTACGACCATTTTGAATTACGGCCAGCTCCGGCTGCAAAAGTTTGGTTCGACTTGCGGCTGGAGCTTCTAGTTACAAACACAAAAAAGGCAGGGGGGGAAAGGTGGGAAATTAAGGCTGGAGCTTCCAGTTACAAACACAAAAAAGGCAGGGGGGAAAGGTGGGAAATTCAAATTGATAACTGCCGGTGACAAAGAGGCTGCTTCTTTGTAGCTCTTTCACCCCAGCAGTTAGAGAGTGTGTGATCGGAGGCAGCTTCGGACTGCCTGGCTTCTGCTTCGCAGTGAGAGTGTGTTTGTTTGCAGGGAGGCTTGGGACTGCCTGGTAAGGTAAGGTGCTGCTTTCTGCTTTTTAAAAACTGCCTTTCTGGATGGGTTTTGCAGAGTGGCTTTTGGCTAGGGGCTTATGTTTCTGTGCTGTGTTGTTTTGGTGGCTTTTGGCTAGGGGGTTATGTTTCTGTGCTGTGTTGTTTTGGTTTTGGTGACTTTTTTTCAGCCCCAGCAGCTTCTGATGGGGCTTGCTCTGTTACCTTTTTTAAAAGCCCCAGCACCTTCGGGGATTGCTCCGTTGTTTATTTTTGGCTGGCTTTTTTTTTGGTAGCCTCAGCGCATTCCTATGGGGCTTGCAGTGTTTCATTTTTATTTTATTTGGTTTTTAAAATTTTTATTCTGGAATGGATTAATCACGTTCCAATTCATTTCAACAGGAAATGGTGCTTCGACTTATGATCATTTCGAGTTACTGTATGTCCATCTTCTGGAACGAATTATGGTCGTAAGTCGAGGCACCACTGTATTAAGATTTCAGGAAAATGCTGTTCTTTTGCCTGTTGCACTGATGAATTCTAGGATAGAGAGAATGGAGTCGTGTTACAGTTTGCAGTATGGCAAAGATCTTGGAACAGATTGAAATATAGACTTTTTCGTGTAGGAAATAAAAAGAACTTTGAAAAGTCACATTTTTATTCTAACTTTAGGGTATAAATTAATGCCTGTAAATAAAGACTGGAAAAGGCAATAATGCTGTGAAAGGTTAAAGGTAGCAGGAACAGAGAAAGTCCAAATAGGAAATGGATTGTCTCCATAAAGGAAAGCCACATGCATGACTTACAAGAGCTAAGCAGGGCTGTTGAGATCACACATTTTGGAGATTGTTTATTCATAGGGTTGCCATAAATCAAGGGCAACTTGATGGCACATAATAAACAAAATAAGCAAGACACGAAAAGCCACTATGCCTTTGTGCCTAATCTGTTTTTTTTTTTTGTGCTGTCTTGATTTAAGTGAGCTGCCCAGAAAATATTCAGTTTAAGAGAACAAACTTCTTCAGCCTTCAATCATATGCACTGTGAGGAGAACAGCCGTTCCGGTACCATCTTGGTTCGAGTGCCATCCTTCCCTACAGAGAAATGGGAAAGAACTATAGGTGCCCAGAAGGGGAAGCACCAGATCATATGGAAAGTGACCACCCCATGAAAGAAAGAGACAAGACGGAATCTGAAGGGCAAAGAAAAGAAATAGAAAGACATGGGGCAAGACTACTGCCAGAGGAAAACCAAATGAGGAAGGAGTTGGGTCTAAGGATAAGATAGAGGAAATGGTGAGGGAGGTGAAGCAACAGCTGGAAAAGATTGGAATAGAAAAGTAGGAGGGGACAGTGGTATATAATGGAGAGGGAAGTAATAAGAAGCAGGAGAGACAGAAGAAAAGAGAGGTGAATACTCCTACTGGGATGAAAGTGGATGTGGATGGAAATCTCTGGAAACACCAGTGGGAAAAATTTATGATTCCACATGAGGAAGTGTAGAGGAGAGGTGAGACCTCAAAAACCCTCCTATTGAGGAGAGAATGAAGCCACAGAGTGGGGAAGAAGAATAAGAAAGAGCCAGAATAGCACAGGAGAAGAAAGAAGGATAGCACACTCTGCTTGGGATAAGACATTCTGAGGCCTTGAACCCTGGGAGTTCAGGAACAAGGAATACCCAGGTTCAAACCCTGCAGCAGAGACCAGATGCCCCTGCTGTCAGGACCACCAGGATCAGTGCTTAGAATCACTACCTGATGGAGGCACGGGACTGTTTGAAACCACCAGTTAATCCATTTAGTGTTCAAGATTCAAACCCCTTCATCACACCATGCAAGGTTTTAATATTAATCGCAACCTGCATTTTTTTTTGCATGCCAGTCTTTGACTGGCTTCCCTCTTTTACACCAACTTTCGAACGCATATCCCATGATCACAATGGTCATCTTTTACGTTTGCAAGCAAGAGGCTGTTTTCGAAAGATGATGCTTTCTGGAAGTGGGCCACTCAGGAAAGATGCCCACTGAACCCGCGGGGAGGGCGGCTTTCTTCTCGGTGGGCATGTTTAGAAATAGAAAGCCAGGTCGGAAGAGGCCCCCAAAGCCGCTTTGCCAACCTAGTTTCCTGACACTTCAGTGTGTCCCCCCCCCCGGCCAAGCAGTGACACGCAAAAACACGCGTGACTTCGCCTCTGCTCCCCCACTTCAGTGTGTTCCCCACCCGGCCCCGCAGTGACACGCAAAACACGCGTGACTTCGCCTCTGCTCCCCCTTCGTGCCCGCGTCCTGCTTCCCGTCATCCACGCCCGACTCGCGGAGCCTCCTCCTCCTCCTCCGTCCAGCCCCGGAATGGGCGGGTTGGCGGCCTGGCGTCACTCTCCGGCGCGGCCCGCTGCCTGCCTGCCTGCCTGCCTCCCTCCCTCCGCGTGTCGTCAGAACGGGCGGCGAAACAGCGGGGAAGGTTTTCTGACGTGCGGCCGCGGTCATGGTGTGGGTTAGCCGAGCCCTGTTCAGGAAGGTTAGTGCGTCTCAGCCTCGCCTTGGGGCTAAAGCGGGTGCCTGTGCTCGAGGGGCCCTTGGTGCCTCGTTAAATCTTGTTTGTTTTGGGTGTGTGTGTGTGAAAAGAGACGCGTTTTCCTGTCATGAGTTACTAAGTTAAACAAAGGAAGGTCTCCTTGCCTTCCCTCATGAAATTAGAGTTTTAAATGCAAAACGTGCTATCTGCTTGCCTGTCTATGTATGTATGTGGCTCCTCAACTGTTTATAGTCCCCTTCCACCTTGTTTCCCAGCTGAGGATTGTGATTAAAAAAACAAAACAACCCAAAACATTTTATAATTAAAATTGTTACAGGCCGTAAGAACACAACAAGACCTGTGATGGACCAGACCAGTGGCCTCCCTGGCCCAGTCTTCTCACCCTGCCAATCCATTGCCTGCAGCAAGCCTGCCAGCAGCACACAGGTGCGACTAGTTTAGGTCCAAACAACAGGAGGGAAAATTAGAAAGCAGTGTCTTAAGTAGGTTTAGGCTGCCTTGTGGTTTATTGGAGGGAAAGCAAGGTAAAACTGGAATGTCTGGATGAATCTTGTCCTCCCACTGGTGGGATATACCTTCTGACCCTTATTACTGGAGAGAATAAATAGCCACCAGGTCACTGAATCAGTTGCTGTGTTTCAGACAAGCCTATCGGATAAGACTGTTACGGAGACAGAAATTAAACAATTCGTGTGTGGCTACATCAGGCCAAAGTTTTGGGCTCCCTTTCTTCCCACATCCCTACTTTTTTTAGCAGCTATTGGGGGGGGGGAAATGAGTAGCTGCTGATTAAAAGATTTTTAGGAAAAAATATTAGAAAGTGGCAGGACGCCGATTTCTGTGTTTGTTGTTGTTTTATGGTGGGGAGAGCTAAAGCCCATAAAGTGAAAACTCATGCCAACAGGAGCAGAAAATCACTTTTTAAAGAAGAGGGGGAGCCTTCTATAGGGGGTTTATTTCAGGAACCATTGGGGCTTCAAAATGCCCGTGGGGAACTGCATTTTGATGAAACCTGACCTAGTTTAATGAAGAACTCAGAAGCTTTTACACTCTGTGGAATTTTACTTGGACCTAATAAAATATTGTCCACTTGGAAACATGAGCAGATGTATGAAGGGGGATTTCTCCCCCCCCCCGCAGATTCCTGTTGTTTTAACTGTGGCATGGCAAACATACATTGAAGTGGAAGGCTGATTCTATTTGTTGCATCTTCACGCTGAGGAATGTGATATGTTATAATGCTGCCTGTGAATCTGTTACTGTATTGAAAACATAGACTTGTTGAAAAAATTAGTGGCAGTAACCTCAATTGAGTCTTCTTGAGTGGTTAAGAGATCTTGTTGAGCTCCTTGTCAAATGAAGTTGCTTTTCAGTATAGTCTGTATCCATAAGGGTGATTCCTGATACCTAAGGATGGGACTCTGCCAATAAGATTGAACTTGATTATTAATGGTTACTGGGGCATAAGCAGGTTTTGACACTATCCCAATAGCTTACCTTTCTACTTTCCTTTGTATGATTGTCGTGGAAAACAGGCAGCACTGTTCTTGGGGAATACATAGCAATGAGGACAGAGAAGTGCATAGCTTAGCTCTTACTTACAGCTGTCCTGTTTCCTTTGAAGGAAATCCTTGCATTATACAAGCCCTCTCTGTACAGCTCCCACTTTTCATGATCAAAAGTAGTTAGATAGTAAATCCGAAATAACTTTGCATTCAATGTATTCTTTCGGCAGTATGGAAGCTTTATAGATGACCTGAGGATCTATGTGAAGGGAGGAGCTGGTGGGATGGGCCATCCTCGATATGGTGGGCAAGGAGGAAAAGGTGGTGATGTTTGGCTGGTAGCTGACGGAAGGGTTACCTTGAAGAAAATGAAAAGTCAGTATCCCAAAAGACGGTTTGTTGCTGGAAACGGAGCTCATAGTAGGTGAGTATTTCTCACTCACTGCAAATTAATGTGATCTGACTCTTTTCTCTCTCAGAAAATAATCTTTATTTATTTGTCCCTCAAGTATTGTCGCACTGAAAGGAGCTAAAGGAAAGGATTGTGAAGTCAATGTGCCTCCAGGAATATCAGTTGTTACAGACGATGGAAAAGTGTTTGGTAAGGATCTTTGGCTTCCTGCCCTTACATTATTGTCATGAATCAAAATATCTGGAAACTGTCTGCTGAGCAAATATTTAATACATGTATCCTCATGCTGAAAGGTTTATATAGTGATTTCAACACTGCAGGTAAGAGTCTCCCATCTGAAATCCACCCAACCAAGAAATAGTAAAGACTTTTCAGTTGTATGATTTTTCTGAGGCTGGAAATAATGGCTTATCTCAGTCTCTGGGGACCTCCTAAGGTTTTCTGCAAGTGGCCTGATCCCTTTCCCTAAGATATCATTGTTTACTAGTAGTTTCCAAGCTTGTTTAAAATAAGATAGATAGATAGATAGATAGATAGATAGATAGATAGATAGATAGATAGATAGATAGATAGATAGATAGATAGATAGATAGATAGATAGATAGATAGTACTCCATTCTGAAAATTTTCAGTATCTCTCCTAAAGCTTTGTTACTGGCTATGTATTCGTTAATAGCCACACCTTTTGGCCAATAATTTCTCTGAAATTCAGTTCAGCACTCAGATGGAAAAAGTTGAATCACTTTGGCTTAGTTTTATGGTCTCTTCCACTAATCCAGTACATTGTCAGAAGCATGATTTTCATGCTAGTACTGCCAGCATATACAGTTGTGACAAATGTTAGGAACATTTGATAATTCTCAGAGACAGTTTAATACTGTAGCTGTTGATTAATAAAAGAGAATATATTTGGTATAGTTGATGCAAGTTCATGTTTATGTTGCACTGTTAAGCGGGTTCTTATTGATTTCAGCCTTATTATGAATAATATTTTATAAGAATGTCCATGGTTTATTTTTTCCCACAATGTCCCCCCCTTTAAACTGTAGTTTTGTTACACAGTGTGTTTATCATCTCTGTGGTGGGAAACTTACAATATATTTGATACCAAGATATGTTTTGAGATATGTGTTAGTACTTTAAAAAAGCCTCATGTCTGAACAACATGAAATGTTAAATTAGAAGTTGAAATAAGTGTCTATTTGACTGTAAATTGTATTTGTTGAGATTGTTTGAAAAAAGAAATTATTACTTCTGAACTTTTGTACAATCTTTATTTTTAGGTGAACTGAACAAAGAAGGAGACAGACTACTTGTGGCATACGGGGGTCTAGGCGGATCCCCAGTTACAAATTTCCGGCCCTCCAAAGGTCAAAAACACCTAATTCATCTTGATCTAAAACTTATAGCAGATGCTGGCTTAGTTGGGTGAGTCTTGGAATGTGAAAACTGTACATCTGAGTCTCTCAAATTGTATGTATATATTGAAGTGGTTGCCCTTGTCCAGAAAGTATCCACACAGGTAGATTTAGTGAATAATAATTACACAGTTCCACTGTCTCCAGGTACTTGTAGCTGTCACTCCATGGCCACAAGAAATACAAGAAATATTGAGCCTGCTGTTGAAGCTGCTCTTCACAGTCTGTTGCTGGTTTAAACATGAATCTGAGTTCTTGTTCATAATTTACACAGTGACAAACCATAGCTGTATACACAACTAAAATGAGCATGGGTTGGGTATTTAAAGCACTGCCACTGAAGTACTTTTGACTTTTCTCTCCATTGATTCTATATCAACTTTCAGATTTGTTGTTTTTATGCTATGGCAGAGGGCAGAATTAGGGAGTCATGGAAACATATTTGTTGAATTGAGAATCAGGCTCTGAAAGCTTCAGCTTTGATCTCAGTCTGAGTTTACTTTTCCATTTCTGTAGGTTCCTAAGTGCTTTATTATGAGATCACGTAAACACAAATTACACTACCATAAAGGGAGGGGGGGAGTATTAAGCTTACATTGTTACCTGTATTTCAGAATAAGCACATCTAACTCTGATTGATGTAGTTCCTTCCAACCAATTATAATAATTTTTGAAATGTTTCGTGTAATGTAAAAGCAGGGGCCAGTTAAACCCTTGCCCTCTTAGAGCTGCCGCATAACCCACATAAAAATGATTTTTTAAATTACAAGTTTTTTTAAAAAAACTGCCATTGACATCTGCTGCCAAAATTTGGGAGTGTTTGCTGTGAAATTAGATAGCAAGCTGCAAAAACTCATAAGCCTTAATTAAAAAAAATGTTTTGTCACATTTAATTGGTAAACTGTTTCACTTATGAATATTTACCTGAGTGGGTGTTTTTAGTATTACAGGAGTTCTACTGCCTTTTTAATTTCTCTTCCCATTTTCCTGCTGTGTTATTAACAATTTATAGTGAGTTTAAAAAAAACAGGAGACCTACATGATATAGAAACTCTTAACCCTTTTTGGGCAGCTGCCAGACTTGGGATGGCTGCTAACTTGAAGCTGACTAAGGAGCTCCAGTAGAAAAGCAGTTTGTGGGAAATAGCTTTAATAGAAAGACTGAACAGATACACGCACAGCAAGAACATCTCATTGTTTACCTCTTTTATAATAGATGGAACAGATGCATTAAGTATATGAATAGAAATAGTCTGAATATACATCTTTCTTAGTGCCCAGATTCTAGAATATTGTAGAAAGATTTACTGGGGTAAATATTAGTAAAGCTGTTGAAAATTAATACCTTACACTGTAAACATCTGGATATGACTTAACTTTTAAATAGATAAGAGTGAAATCATCCCAACTGCACATATATTGTACAGTAACTGAAAACTAATTTTTAAAAATATGCTTTTGAAAGAAGTTGCCTGCTTCTTCTCTCACTCTAGAGTCGTCTGCTTTTTTTATATATGTTTTCTTGATTTAGTCAATATTCATATGTAAAATAGATTTTTATAAAGCTGGCACAGAAATTGCTTTATTGTTCTTTATTGCTTTATTTACAGTATTGTAAACATACTGATTGGTAACTTTGTAATCCCTATTTTATTCCAGATTTCCAAATGCAGGAAAGTCTTCTTTGCTAACCAAGATTTCTCGCGCCACTCCTCAGGTTGCGGATTATGCCTGTAAGAAACCAATTAATACCCATTACCTTTGGGATCCAGGTCTTAATCCCTTGGTATATGTGCGGATATTGTGCAGTTGAAATATTGAGGGTAGAAGATTTCATCCCTCCAGATCTCACATAGGAAGATTAGGAAGCTGTTATATACTGGGTAAGGCCATAGTCCTGTACTGTCAACATTGACTGGCTGTGACTCTCTAGGGTTTCAGGAAGGAGTCTTATCTATCCCTACCTGGAGATGCCAGGGATTGGATCTGATACCTTCCACATGCAAAGCAGATTCTTTACCACCAAACTACAGCCTTTGCCTTATTGTAACATAACAGTGTCCTGTTGTAGTAGATGAGGGGGAGACATGAGAGTATGGTTTAAGAGTATATGTGTTTATTAAGTTAGATAAGGGGCAGAATTCAGATACAGAATTCCAAACAAAAACAATCTAGCTAAAGCAGGACTAAAGACTTTCTGCTACCGGCAGTTTGAGGAACAAAGCAACAATAAAACCAAATTATTGTGGCATCTGTAAGATTGGTCAGTTTTTCAGTGTGAGCTCTAATAGGTGTAATCCACTTCTTCAGATCCAAACTGTGTCCAAAGCTCACAATGAAATATATGTTAGTCTTAAAAAGAGTTGCTGCTGCCACAAATAAATACAGCCGCCTCTGTGAAAACTGTCAGAATTTTTAAGATAAAATTGTAGAAATGAGTATGCTATACTTAAAGTTTGCAATTTATGTAATCCCTTTGTTATAGTAGTCGATATACTGATACACTGCTATTTCAGTGTTCACATCAGGAAGGTAGAAAGCAAAACAGTAGCAGTACAAGCAGCAGATCATGCAATATTGACAACCATTCCCACAGTGATCCTAGCAACCCCTCCATGATCCACATTGATGCATGCTTCCCCCATTGCACACACACACATGTGGAAAGGCATGAGCTAATGGAGATCATCCCAGATGACATCTTCTCACATAGCTCTAGAACACAAACAGGTACTGTAATCTGAAGCAGAGGACACTGCCATTTCTGTACAGACCTTCATTATGCAAGAAGATAGCAACTGATAACCATAACTGTGAACTCCAGGTTTCCCTGCAGTTAGCAGCCTGAATTCCCTGCCACCCCAACTCCAGCATTGCCCTATACATCAAAACTCTTCTGGAAAAGAAGGAAGGCTTGTAGTCTGAGATTGAATGGATACAGTCCTGTCAAACAGTCTGTCTGGCTTTTAAGACAATCAGCACAATAAAATATCCTTCATCAAGCATAGTGTTCTTTAGTGCTAAATAATAATGAAATTTGTTTTCAATATGCTCTAATAAAATCAGCACTGAAATTCATGAAGGTTTATACTATTGCTATCTGTTCTTGCTGCTAGTCTGAAAACCATAAGTAGCATTATGTTATCTTTTGGTTTTTCCTTGCAGAGTAAATGGGTGTATCCAACAGATACATACGTGCTTAGGATAGAGTGCTAAACTATTTCACAAAACAGTTATCTTTCCCCCTTCATTTTTCAGTCACAACAATACAGCCTGAACTTGGAACAATTCAATATCCTGATTACAAGCAGGTTCGTTAAGATTACATTAATGATTAATGATATCATAGAGATATCTATGTTTACTTACATTCTGAGGTTGTTACCAATCATTTAAAAACTGGCCCAGAATTGCGATGAGAGCACACTGATGATTCGCTTTTCTGGGAAATAGCAGTTGCCTAAGAATATTTTCGGACCTGGTGCCCCTGAAGTCATGACGCTTTGCTCCAGAAGGACCTGGCTCTTTTAAATAATGTTTACATCCCAATAGTTTGTCCTTTCCAGCTCCTTCAACATAACTGATAAAACTTTGAAGCATGCCAGCCATAATATCCATTATCATTTTCGGTATATAAACATAATCCTTTGGATGCAGACAGAAACAGCTCAGCTTCTTAAGCAAAAAGTTATCTCTGAAACTTTGAAGGAAAAATAGCAATTTAGGAGGGTGGTGGGATTGAATGTTGGAAGTGCATGAGTGTATCTTAGGAGTCTTGTAACCTTAAATAAGAGATAAGTAAGAGGAAAGAGTTAAGCAAAAGAGTAAGCCTCCTCAAATGTTACTGTATTTCTAGGTAATGGAGATCCGGTTGGATATCTTTTTTCCTTTCTTTTTTCTTTTGTACTACCAAGTTAATTTAGGTAACACACCATGTTAAAGTGTTAAATGTCATAAAGCCAAATAAAGTCCAGTAGTCCTTATTCAGATTTATTTCGACCTTTCTATAAATTACCAAACCCAGTCCTGTTAAAACAATTCTAAAATGTCTTATATTCCAGAAAATTGTTTCCAAATATGAATTCCATATTTTGACGAGTAGTAGATGATGTTCATTCACAAGCCTTTCTAGATAGCCTAATTGTTACTTTGATGTGCTAAAATTTATAGCTGGCACATGAGAGAGCAATTCTGGAAATACCACTGTAAGATGAAAGGCTTGTGTCAAGAGGTTCTGACAACATCTGACAACAAAGTTCACAAATGTGAAATGCATAAAAGTGCTGCCTCTTCCACCTGCAACCAGGAACTAAGAGTTTAGCAGATGCTTTAATCTTTGTCCAAATAGTATGTATCAAATGAAGAATAACAGCATTGCGCTCCAGGATCAAGCTTGCTCTAATAGTTTTTAGATTCAAAGCATCTCAGTACATTCTTTCAATTTAAGTCCCATTAGATATCGATATAGGCCTCCTCACAAAATTACCATAATTTGTAGCAGCCGTAAAATTAGAATGGATGCAAACAATTGTTCATCTTTATCCCTCTTGCCAATACATATTTGTACAGTTTTATCAATGATTCTCAATGTTTTCTTTTCAATCTTGCAAATTAATTGGCAGTTGCCTGATTCTTTATAATACTGAGGACTTTTGTGATCTGTGCAACAAGATTATGTCTGTTTCATGCAGGTAGCTTAGAATATCACTGTCATTATTAAGTAGAAAAACAACTATGTTGTTGTGGGGACAGCAGTAGTTTTGACTTAGTTCCAAAATCCTCCCTCGGCTCCATTCAGTATATTTCTGGTTTAGTATTAGCTATAATTTCCTGTATCACCCAAATCAGCAAACTAGTCTCTGCCTCCCAAGCCAGAAGTATCTAGATAAAGGTAAAGTTCCCCTTGACATTTAGTCCAGTCGTTTCCAACTCTAGGGCACGGTGCTCATCTTTGTCCCCAAGCTGTAGAGCCAGCGTTTGTCCAAAGACAGTTTCTGTGGTCTTGTGGCCAGCATGACTAGACACGGAATGGCATTACCTTCCCACCGTAGTGGTACCTATTTATCTACTCGCATTTTTACATGCTTTCAAACTGCTAGGTTGGCAGGAGCTGGGACAAGCGAAGGAAGCTCATTCTGTCTTGTGGATTCAGTCTTAAGACTGCTGGTCTTCTGACCTTGCAGCACAGAGGCTTCTGTGGTTTAACCCACAGCGCCACTATGTCCCACTAGAAGTATCTATCCTTATGTATTAGTTCAGAGATTATGACAAACCTTAAGGAATATCAGACAGAAAAGTGAGAGAAGCTGTACATAAGAAGGAAGGAGGTAGCATGCAATAGACTTCTAACCACGTTGAATTTTCCATTTTAGAGGGGAGAAGAGACTTTGTTTTTAAACCCATGGGAAGTCAGAAAGAGTAACATTTGAAAAAAAATCTTGTCTTGTTTTATGTTTCATTACATAGTCAGACAAAAAAATCTTTGATGTGTATATGCACTCTTGCTGTTCACCTGAGCCATGTTTTATGTAACAGACAAAATAAATGATTTCCCTTTTCCCAGTTGGTCTCCTTATTTTCTTGTATGTTTTTCCCTGTCTATTCTACTGCTTGTTCAGCCTTTCCTTGTACTAACTGGACTCGCAAATCTTAGTAGGCAGCTGCACATCTTCTCTCTTATTCCCTTAAATATTTGAAGAGCCTTTGAGACACTGCCATGGGGAGTATAATAGGGAGCTGCCTACAGGCGTTCTGAACAAATGAATATCCCAGGCATGCCTCCAGTGTTGTCCTCACTGATAGTTGGGAACATCTGCTGCCTACCAACAAAATAACCCAATGTTATTGGTTTCTATAGCATCTTTGGTTTTCATGACATATTTCAGATGTTTAGGCTTCGTAGCTTTTGAACTGTGGTAGAGACATGCATTATTATTTTTTTATTAGTGGATATATTTTGCATTTTGCATGCTATTCCAAACAAAACCGAGTTCTTGATATACAGTAGAATGATAACTGGTATCACTGAAGAGACTTTGGGGGCGGGGTGTATGTATGCTTGTCTGTTTTAGTCGTGATTTTAGTTTCTTCTAGTAAGGAAAGTGTCTTGAACTCATCAAATTGCGTACTGTAACGAAAGTCTCCTAAACATTTTGATATTACTTTGAATGAATTAAAGAGACCCAAAGAGAGTTATCTTTTGAAAAAGATATATCTTCCTCACCTGTAGATTACAGTGGCTGACCTTCCAGGATTGATTGAAGGTGCACATGCAAATAAAGGACATGGGCACAAATTCTTGAAGCATGTGGAAAGAACAAAACAGCTTCTCTTTGTGGTAAGAAGATGTGGTTGTTTTCATTCTCTGCTTTAGAGTGCCTTGTTTAGTTTAAAATTTGGACAGACACTAATCATGGTATATCATGCCATTGCATTGTTGATGGTCCCACTCAGTTTCAGTGTAAACCCCTTGGTTGGCCAGGTCAGAGATAGCACCTCTGCTGCGAGAGGAAAGGCACCATCCATGTGGCTTCTGACCATATACCTGTACTCACATCCAGTTGGAATCAGGGCATCTCCCTAGCACTCCCTGGAGGGAGTGTGCTTCTTATATACCACCCCATAGTTCTTAAACCATCCTCTGCATGGTTAAAAATTTTTACTTATACAGGCTACACATTGGCTTCTCAGCGAGATAGGTACTCATTTTACCGACTTCAGAAAGATGGAAAGCTGAGTGAACCTGAGGCCAACTGCCATAATGCACTGGGATTGGATGTTGAATGTGAGCAGAGTTTTGACTTTAGTACTATAGTTGAAACACTGTGCCATGAGACTCCAGGCAAGTCTGTGTGCTTTCCTTTAAAAAACAACCAATGTGACACCCTGCATCACTGCTAGTCTGATTCAATGAGCTTATTACATCAATGGCTAGTTGTGTTCATCAAGGCTCAAAGCACATAAACAGAGGTTGACCCCTAACTTCCAGATAGCACAAAGGGAATGTCCAGAATAATCATTTTCATTATAAAAGCAAGCATTCATTTACAGTGAATTGTGTAGCTGATAAATTGAAAATGAGATGCCTGTGATGTGGTTTCAGTAAGATCTTGGCTAAGACAAATGAAAATCACATAAGGGGTCTTGAATGAATATGTATAGACAGTAATGGAGCTAAGCTTGGTTATGGCATTCCCATAATGCCACAGCCAGTGGCCATGCATTTTTTGGATTCTGGGAACTGTATTCCTCACAAGTAACTTCATGTTTTGGATGTAACACATAAAAATTGCACAAATAAATTAGTGTTTTCTTTGACTTAGGAACTATTCAGAAATTTTAAAGATGGATGCTGTTTTCTGAAAATATTGCTGTTGTGTATGTATATATAAAAACTAACTCATGTTCCTCTCCCCTTACCTTCATCTTGTTCTTTCAACTAGTGAAGAATAATCGTGTGAGAAAATATTTGCTGGTGTATGATGATAATGATGATGTTTTAACTTTCTAGGTTGACGTATCTGGGTTTCAACTTTCTTCTAGAACACCATTCAGAACAGCCTTTGAAACCGTAGTACTGCTAACAAAGGTAAGATTGATGGCATTGCTGTAACTAGCAGTTTTGACACCTGGGACACTGTTTCCTATCCATTCCGCCCTGATGCATGGGCATAAGATACCCCCCAGAAAGAGGAGGAGAAAGTTTTACCCTCCCACCAAAAAAGTTTTTGCTTTTTTAAAAAAGAAGTAAAAATGCCTAAGAGGTGTTGTTGTTTAGTTTCCTAACATTCATGAGTAGATTCACCTCTAAATTTCAGAGCTCTCTACACGTTGGTGCCCTGGGTCAAATCCCCAGTTATTCCACCCTAGTTATGGCCCTGGTTCATGTTTTCTTATTAAGAGACATGCCTTTCACATGCTCCGTCTGTTCATCTATCCATATATTTTTCATTTATATGCTGCCTTTATTCTCAGAACTGGGATGCGATGCATTGTAATACAGATTATATAAAAATATACAGTAATTGAAAATATTAATTCAGACAGCAAAACTATAAAACTAGGATGTTACTCATTGTCCACAAAGACTCTGTTGTATGCAAGATGTTTATGATAGTTAACATCTACATTGATATTTCCTTTATTTACCTATCTCCTCTGTTGCTTGATAAGTTCTGAGTTTAGTGGAGCAACTCATATAAAACCAAATACATTAAAGAACAATACCTTACAATTGCCTTTTGGGGTTTATATTTGAAGGAGCTAGAACTGTATAAGGAAGAACTTCGAGCTAAATCTGCGATGCTTGCTGTTAATAAAATGGATTTGCCTGATGCACAAGAATTGTTGGACGAGTTTATGGAACAGCTACAAAGACCTGAAGGTCAGACATACATTTTTTTAAATATATAAAATAGTCACATCTGTTTGGCATGAAGCCACCAGTGGAAACCGTATTGGTGGAAAACATTCCATTGCTTGACAGAGATACTAAAAAAGAACAAACTGTGGGAGTCTTATTTTAATTTCTAACATCCCTGAATAAATAATTGTGCACATTAGTTCCAGAAACCTAATATGTAGTTTTCTAGACAAATTATGCAATTCTGTTTGGGGTATTGGAGCCTGATGGATGTGTGTATCTTATCTGCTCTGAGCAACCATGTGTTAGATGCTTTCTGTACAGTTCCCAAAATAGCGTATAATAGCATCAACTGATGTGCACACTCTCTTGTCCATGCATATCCTAACCAAAGAATATCCATGTTGATTGACACCTTTCCACTCCAGTAGGGTCATTAAATATGAAAGCAAAACTATTAAACCTCACAGATCCAACCTATCTCCTCTATTCATACATGTATAACTGTCTTCTAAAGCGATATGGCTGTGTGACTGTAGCAAATGCTTGGAAAAGCTTCAGTTTTGAATTATATTTAGAGTTGAAGGCAGTGGCCTGTCTTCCCTGCCCTACCTCCTCTGGGTGCTGCATCTGAGTGGATGCCTGCTAGAGGAGGCAGGGCTTTGAAGCACCGAACACCTTTTTGGCCACTAAACAAACCAGCATGAACCTCCGGACCAGCGGGTTGTGCCAGTCTCTCATTACAATTCCAGATATGGCATATAAATTTGGACTACAAGTCAAAGGGATCATGCTAGCTGGGGATTCTGAGTGATGTAGTTAAAAACATAATTTTCCCTATCTCTGGTATTAATATATATTTTTTCTTTTCAGCAGACCATGTTCTTGGTTAGAACACACAGTTGTGTATGATGTGATTGTGAAGTTGTTTTTGTCTTCAACGGAAGGTGGAAAGAATTTTTTGTGGGGTGGGAAATAAATGTAATCATGAAGGCTTTGGGACCAGCATTTCCTTTAAATGCACTGTTCTGGCAGTTCAAACGCAAACCTCTGAAAATACTGCTTGTGTGTATGTGTAAGAATTACCCCACTAGTTCACCTGGCTCTCCCCATCCATCATCTCTTTTGTAAGTAGATGGAATCAGGAAGGCATCTGGGCTGGTAGATGTTTTAACTGTACTCATCTGGCAGTTCTGAAGCTATTTTCTGAAAATACTGTTTTCGTATTTCGAACAGTGTTGCTACTGGGCTAGTTTTTATTCTGACTGCATTTCATGCGGAACACACCTTATACACTTGAGCAAATAATTAGGAAATTGCAGGATGTAATGGGAAGCAGTGGTTAAAAATGGCTACATTTGTTGTATAATTGGATTTAGCTGCATCATATGTTTCTGTACTATGTTTAAATTAATGTCTTTTTATACAGACATGGTCCCATATAAATTAATTGTAAATCTCTATCATTTCAGAATACATGCATTCACTTTCAGCAGAGATGATTCCAGAAGTCCTTTTCGAATTCAAAGAGATCATCCCCGTATCTGCACATACCGGTGAAGGACTTGACAAGCTAGTTACATGTTTAAGAAAAGTAATAGATGAAGAAGCTGAGAAGGAAATTGAAAATTATCAGAAGCAACAACTTCATAAATTGCGGTTAGAAATACAGTAGCTCCTTATACTCAAACACTGTTGAATGATGATTAAGACATCAATCTTTATAGGTCTCTTGAGTTCTCCAGCTATCAGGGCCTTGGGAGTTCTCTTGTTCAGACCAATCATTTTAAAAGCAGTGGAGTATATTGTTCTTGAGTTTCTGTAAAATTAAAAAAAAAATTCAGTTAGAATAATTAATGATCAAATGTATAGAGGTCTTCAGATTACACAATGAAGCAGGTTGTAGAATACATTTAAAAAGGTGTAAATAAATATGTAAGTCTGTTTTAAAATGTGGAGCCAATCTTTCTGATTCCTTTACTATCATTATTTAGAATAAGCACATCATTTGTGTAACAAGTTCACCAAAATCTAAGTGAGCTTGCATTCTTGACATATTTCAGAAAGGAATATTTAGTTTTGTGTAACAAAATCTAAGCCAGCTTGCTTTCTTGACATATTTCAGAAAGGAATATTTAAAATTACAAAGAGCTATTTAGCATCAACAGTGCTAATAATTATGTTACAACATCTGCACAAGTGGGCTAATGTTAAAAAATAAAGTTGTCACTTTCTGTTTTCTGTGTGTTAGGTAAGGAATGGCATTCCCAGAGCATCATAGCACCAAATCGTTCAGGTCTCTTGATGGAGCCTATCCTCCAAAGATGAACAGAGGAAAAGCAAAGATGACAGAATATGACTTTACACCAGAATCAGGAGAAGAGTAACATAATGCTGACAAAGAATATGAGAGGTTCAGAAAGATAGTAAATTTTGCACTATATTCATCCCTTATATATCACAGCATACCACCATACCATCTCTCACACTCCTTGTTTTAAGTTCGGGATGCCAAACAACTAACCAGATCTGGTTAGTAGTTACGTTGGAGGTCACTAAGGATCTCCTGGTACAGCTAGGAAAGAATACTGCCTGAAACTGGAAGATTATTGCTTCCACCCAGAGCGAACAGTACTAGGCTTGATGGGTCAATGCCTTAGTAGAAGCAGGTTCCTATGTACCGTGCAAGATTCTTGTCATGCTTTTGTTACAGCCCTATGTGTGCCAAACAGAGCATTTCAGTCTGATGTTGGAGGAAGATCTTGGATCCACCCAATCCAAAATGCCGTTGTTCCTTTGATAGGCCTCCAGAAAAGGCAAATAAAGTATGAAACACCTGCAGGGAAAATATGAACGAACTTGACTCTAGGAGAGGCATGCAAATACCAACTAAATAGTCTCCCTTTTGTTTTAAAGAATATGAATTGTGCTGATTCCCTGGCAATTCCTGACAGTTTTCTGATTCTATCTGCTACTTTAAAAGGTTTGATAGCTACGTACCGATATCTAGATTACTAACTAGTATCAAAAAGAATGGAGCAATTTTATTTGGAGCAGTCAGTTCGACCCTATTGCTACTTAATAATCTGCCAAAGTAATTTTCTTAGTCCTTTAACTCCTTGTTGTTTCAAAGACAAAGATGGCACAGGAAAGTTATCCCCTGCATCCATGGAGGTTTTGAACCGATCCCCCAGAGGATACCAGAGTCCTACTGTATTTCAGACAAATCAATCTTCTTTCTGTTAGCTTTCTTCACTGTCTAGCTTTTACATCCGTACATAGTAATTGGGAAAACAATGTTGTGAATAATCCTGGCTTTAGTTTCTTGTGACACATCCATATACTTGATTATCTTTTCTAGTTCTTTCATTGCACCCGTTCCAAGTCTGTCTTCTGATTTCTTGGTTTGACTGTTATGAACTAATAAGTAATGCTTTGTATCTTGGATTTGGTTTACATTTAACACCAATAGGCCTACTCTGTCTGCATTTTAAGTAAACTCCTGAGAGTAAAGATTTCCCTCCTTGATCAGAGCTTGGAAAATTTAATTTTGAAGGAGATTCTGGAAATTGCAGTCTAAAATAATTTTTTCGTCCCTTTTTACTAATGTATTCCCTTAGATTTTACAGTGGTAACGGGGAAAATATTCAAAATATAACATTCTACACTTTGAATAGCTTCATGGTTTTAGGTATTGGGCTGTGGAGCCAGAGGTTGGGAGTTCAATTTCACACTGTGCCTTCAGAGAGAAAAGCCAGCCTATGTGGCCTTGGGTAAGCTGCATAGTTTCAGAGAGCCCTCAGAAGAAGAGCGTGGTAAACCACTTCTGTGTATGCTCTACCTGGAAAACGCTGGAAAAGGTTGGCATAAGTTGGAATTGACTTGATGGCACACTATTATTCTTAATGTTTTTGTTAAAAAATACCAGGCACAGTCAATCAAAATTACAGAAACATTGGTTTTATGTAACATACAATTTTTAACCAAAAACCTAAGTATCTGTTAAATATCGGTGCACTGTGTGTGCTGCTCCTAATATTGCCATTTTTGTAGCTCTGATGGTGTTATTTCTGAGATCTACAGCTGCTTATTATTGTCCTTACAACTCTTATTGAGGGTTATATGAATCACAAGGAAAGGAAGGAAGACCACATAATGACATCTGATGGTCAGATTCCAAAAGATCTGTATGGAGAATTAGTACAGGGAAAATGTCCCAGAGGGAGCCCACAGCTGCGATACAAGGGTATCTGCAAGCGGGATCTGAAGGCCTTAGGAATGGACCTCAACAGATGGGAAACCTTGACATCTGAGTGTTCAGCCTGGAGGCAGGTGGTGCATCATGTCCTCTCCCATTTTGAAGAGACACTTGTTCAGCAGGCGGAGGCAAAGAGGCAGACCCAGAACCAGCAAAATCAGGGAGCTGGACAGGGGACAGATTGTATTTGTCTTCAGTTTGGAAGGAATTGTCACTCTCAAATTGGTCTTCTCAGCCACGCTGTTCCAAGTCCTTTATTCAAAGCATGTTACCATAGTCTCTTGAGACTGAAGGATGCCTAATCATCAATCATGAATAGTAAGCAGTAACAATTTATAAAAATTTCTGAATATAGCTGTATTAATGGAACTGCAACTGGTGATCAAAGATGGGAAAGGCACCTACTATCCTGTCTTTACTAGGTTCAAGGGAAAGTCTCTGGTAATTTTGATCCTACTGTGAACAGGGAACATTTAATGCTGCTGATTGCATTTCATGAAAATCTACTCCCTATTGGTCTTTCATCTGGTATGGTATCTCCTGTGCCATCAAGTTGGAACCAACTTATAGCAACCCTAATTGCAAATTAAAATGGTCAGAAAATTTCTAAAATCCAAAGAACTGCCTGAGAGTCACAATCCATTCTGTGTCCACCAGGCTACATCATAAGGAGAGGAACGTGAGCACTATCATGCCCTCCTGAAAAGAATTCTTATTTTCCCCCACCACCTTTCCCTTTCCCACCCATTTGTCCTTTTCTGTCATGTATTCTTAGATTCTAAGTTTGTGAGCAGGAACTGGTTTTTACAGATGGGATGCAAGATCCGTGGGGTGGGCACAAGCCGTGGGGCGGCACAAGCCGAAGCCCACTCTGTTTTGCCTCCCCTTCTTGTTCCGAGTTGCAGGTTTCTACTTTACTGCCATAACAGCTCCGCAACTGCTTTTAAAAGTTCCCGTACTTCTTTTGTCAGCCTGTGCTTTGGATGCTAGCTTGATTCGTATTTGAGGGTTGAGAGTGAGGACAACGAACTGTGAACCTAAAGCTGCCTTCTCAAAGCGAAGTTCGTAAATCACTTGCAAGGAACAGCATGTGAAAGAATGACATCCTGAAGAAACCAGGCATTTTTGCCGCCGCGCCCCAAGAAAAAGATCGACACGTAATGAACACAAAAGAAGAAGCCACCCATTTGCAGAGGCGAAGGCTTATTGAAAGGGGACCGAAGGGGGGAAAGAAACCAACCTCCAGAAACCTCGGTCAGACCAAGTCCGTCTAACGCTAAACATCCCATTCCCACGTGCGTTTGCTTCTCGCGCTAAAGGATGCGAGCACAGAAGCACAGCCTGAACCGGTATCTCGAAGGGGGTTTGCCTACGAAACAATAGTTCCCGGAAGAAGGATCTTGGGAGTTGTAGTCACGAGGAGGCGGGCGAGACAAAGAGCGTGTGACACACGGAGACTACACTCCCAGGAACCTTTGGGCAAACCTGGAAAAGGCAGCCACTTCCTGAAAAGAAAAAAAAAAGGGGGGGGAAGAGTAAGAAACCGAGTTGTGGATGCTGTGTTGATAAGGAGGAGATTCGATAAGAGATCTCGTACTTGCAGGATTTAAGTGCCTCGCGCGTGGGAAGCTGGTGAGTCCCGTGGAGATCGGGTCTCCGTGGGCCCCCTTTTATTTAAAAAAAATAATAATCTATGAATCACTGCTTTTTCCGGAGGTGCGGGATTTGGCTATGATCATGGCTCTCTCTCATTAGAGCCGACCAAAACACCTGCTCGGATCGCTACCTATCCACGTAGGTATCACGGAAATCAGGCGGTGTATATACTCTGAGGTAAATGTTATTAGGTGGATTAAGGTTTCTATTCTTTCTTCCTCTACATGGCTCTTCGGGAGTAAGCCTCATTGAACTCTGAAGGGTTAACCCCCTGAGTAGGTTGGATTGCACCTGCGATATCACCACCGCAGAAATATTTGCCATTAAACGACCTGTGTGCGAGAGCCTCTGTGCGTTACAAAACCTGGGTTGTATTTTTCCATACAGAAAACGAACAAGCAATCTCAGTGAGTGGCAGGAGAGCTTGGAATGGCAAAAGGAGGTGCTTCATGTGAGGGATCATAGAATATGTGTCATTTGCTGCCACAAGATGGGGTAGCATCTAGCAGGGTTGGGGGAGGCAAATTCAGGGAGCAAAAGGGAAAAAAAGTAGTCTACAATTTTTTACTTTTTAAGTATCAGGGTGCTGAGGAACGAAGAGGCTGCTTGTGAGTTTTTCAAAGGCTTCTGTGAGAAGCAGGCTGTGCATGAGATAGGGGCCTCTCTCATCTGGAAGGACTCCTCTTGTTATATTCCTTCCAGGGTTCTCTGCAGCCAAATGCCTCTGGTAAACCCACAAGCAGGGTGTAGGGACAATGCCAACCTCTTGCTTGCTTTTATTTCCAACCATCTAATATTGAGAAACCTCTATTTTGCACAACACTATAAGCTTTCATTTTCTGGTTATTTTATTATGTGCACTAGGAGAGGGAAGAAGTGAGCTGACAGCACCAGTATGCACCTCATCCATAATAATAATCATGTGCAGTCAAGTCAATTCTGACTTATAGCAACCCTTTTGAGGGTTTTCCAGGTAAAAAATATGCTGAAGTAGTTTACCATTCCATCCCTGGACTATGCAGCTTGCCCAAGACCACACAGGCTGGCTCTTGTCTCAGGAGGCATAGTGGGGAATCGAACTCCCAACCTCTGGTTCTGTAACCAGATACATAAACTTCTGAACTATCCAGCCAGCAGTACCTCATACATAATAAACCAGAATTCTCTGGAATCTCAGCTTATTGTTCTGTGCAAACATGGTGCTGATTCAAAACATGGAAATATATACTGATGTCATTTTTTTCCTTCTTAGATAAACTAAAATTGTACTTACAAGGATTCCTTTGTTGCTTTTGACCTGCTGACATCTCTTGGTAAGTTTATGCTCTCACTTTTTGCGGTAGATTTATATTTCACTTTTCCTTCTGTTGTTTTGAAGCAATGTATGTGGCTTTTCTCCTTGGTGCTTTATCCTCATAGCAGTCATGTGAGGTAGGTCAGGCTGAAAGAGAGTCACTATACCAAGATCCCCATACATTTACCAAGGTCTTCTGAAAGGTAAGAACTTGCTAATATTATCTGACTGTTTCTTGTCTAAACTGTCCAAAAGCTATTTCAGATATAACAGATAGGAGCTTTGCTGACCAGCTACATTCTTTCAAATCTGTAAGAAATTGTTTGCATTAAATAATAGGGTTTTGTGAATGAAGTCATGGTAAAGGATCAGAGTAAGTGTTTCAAGATCATATTGCTATACCAGTCAATCTCTGCTTGTTTATAAATACAGTGGTGCCTTGCAAGACAAAATTAATCCGTTCCATGGTTAATGCCATCTAGTGAAGGTTCGTCTTGTGAGGCACGATTTCCCATAGGAATGCATTGAAATTTAATGTGCTGCTATGGGGAAAAAAGTCCAAAACAAAAAAAAATTAAGTTAAAGTCACTTACCAGGTACTGTAGAGTGAGCCCGACTCCTCACAGTGCCTTGGTAGCCTCAAAAAGCAGCAAAAAGAGTGCCAAGCAGCTCAGAGCCAGCACCCAGCAGGGAACTGGCAGCCATTTTGTGCTCTTCTCCGCTCCCTCCCCGCCTCACAGCTGATTTGCACTAAGTCTTAGAAGCTTTCCCTGGACTTGCCCAGCACCAAAAATGAACTGGAAATAGCTCCTCCCGGCCCACCACGGCTTTCAGAGGCTTTCCAGGGGGCAGGGGGAAAGCACTTTTTTTTTATTTCTAGCTCTTTTTCAATGCTGGGCAAGCCTGGGGAAGCCTCTAAGACCCAGTGCTGATCAGCTGTGAGGCAGGGAGGGAGCGGAGAACAGAACAAAATGGCTGCCGCCTCCCTGCTGGGTCTGGGCTCCAATGGTGCTGTTAAGACTGGTGGGGGACCTCTGAAAGGGGGACCTCTGAAAGTGGCACTGGCTGGGAGGGCAAATATTTTGCCTCCCGTGGCAAAGCGGGCCCTGCTTCGTCTTGCGAAGCAGGGCCATAGGAACATTCGTCTTGTGAGGCACCAAAACTGTAGCCAGACCCATTCATGCCGCGAGGTGTTCGTCTTGCGAGGCACCACTGTAACTAGTTTGGAGCTCTATGGTGTATTGTGATTTACAGAGAGCCATTTAATGAGATCTCCAGTGCAGGGTACTTGCCTTGGTGTGCTTTTTCCCAGATTCCAGTTCAACTCCCAGAACAGTCAGGTTATGGAAAAGGACTATATTTCAACCAGTTGTCCAAAAATAATTTTTCCAAGCTGTGAGACAGTGTTATCTATATTTTTCCCTTTGTTCCTCATTTAAAAAAATGTAGATGAAAATCTTTTTTACTTGAACACGTTTCATCCCTTCAGGACGCTTTTCCTTGCCTACAATGGGCTGCCGTGATGTTCATGCTGCCACAGTCCTTGCCTTCCTTTCTGGAACAGCAGCCTTATCGGGACTCATTGCCGCAGCTCTGCTTCCTAACTGGAGACAAATGCGCCTCTGCACCTTTAACAAGAATGAAAAGAATGTAACGGTATACACAGGCCTTTGGATTAAGTGCGCTCGCTTTGATGGAAGCAAAGACTGTGTGATTTATGACACAGAATGGTATACTGCAGTTGACCAGCTGGATTTGCGTGTTCTCCAGTTTGCTCTCCCTATAAGCATGTTAACAACTGTTTTGGCCCTTTTTCTCTGTTTGATTGGCATGTGCAACACTGCCTTCGTAACAACTGTGCCCAACATCAAGCAGGCCAGATGTCTCATAAACACTGCAGGCTGCCATCTTGTGGCCGGCCTCTTCTTTCTCCTTGCCAGTGTCATTTGCTTGGCACCTTCCATCTGGGTCATTTTTCATAATCAAGAAATGAACAGAAAATACGAGCCTGTTTTCAGTTTTGACATTTCTGTGTACATTGCTATTGCCAGTGCTGGAGGCTTGTTGTTCACAGCCATTCTCTTGTTCCTGTGGTACTGTGCGTGCAAATCTCTCCCTTCCCCTTTCTGGCAGCCCCTCTATTCACATGCACCTAGCGTGCACAGCTATGCCTCTCAGCCATATTCTGCACGATCACGCCACTCGGCCATTGAAATTGACATCCCTGTTGTTACACATCCTTCTTAAAGATGGGATTAGGAAAGCTGAATAGCTCCCTGCTGTGTCAGATATCGAGGCAGGTGGCTTTCCACTATCTTCAAGACCTGTAGAAATAATTTACAAAAGGTGTGTGCAAAAGAATTTCCACTGTTAAGTTGACGATTTTACAACCTCTCTATCTTGGTTTGCTATAGTAAAGGATAAGCAAGCCAGAATTTTAGATGTTCTGTTTGTTGGGTTCTGAACCTGTCTATAAATGGAAACTATTCAAGTTTGTAAGTTCACAGGAAATTTATAGATTGCAACATCTTTGCTTGTATATATTTCATCTTAGTTTTTGAATTGTACTACTAAAAATATTTGGCTAGTGTTTGCGATCAAGCATACAAAAATGTTTTGTAAGTAATTTTTGCCAGTTCAAATTTCTCCTACTTTAGAACACTGGATTTTAATAATCTTGACTGATAATCATTTTGTATTTTTGAGACCAGTAATTTTTTTTTGTCAATCAAGTTATATTTACATGTACAATAATCATATATGTTAACTTATTTTACATTACTTGAGTAAAAACAGACTGACTTAATTTTAGATCCTTGGCAATCTAAATTGTAATAGACCAGGTTAATCCTGTGCCAGATTTTGTTCTCTATTGCACATTGTAAGAACTTACTACAGTATTTGCTTGTGAACATCTGAGAACTGCTCTCAAACTAATCTTGACTCAGGTGAAAATTGAAGATTTGGAAGAAGTGTAATAGTATATTTCCTTTCCTTTATATCTTTTTATTTTTGTAGTCCTAGAATAATCTGCATTGTTTGAGAAGACTTTTGCTATATAGAAAACAGGTCTTAAAGATGTATTTTCTTATCTCTAAACATAGGAAGTAAAAAAAAAATTCTTTTACAGTTAAAACATATATAACACTAATAATACAAATAGTCTCAGGATTATTTAAAGTGCCCTATAATCAGAAGTTTATACTAACTGGAATGTTCTTTTTCATGGCTATTGGGCTCCATGAGATATTCTTCTAGGAATACAGGTTTTTCCATAGCCAAGCCTTCCTTTGCTCTACTTTAAAAATCCATTGTTATTAAGACACTGAATGAATGAACTCCTACTCTGATGATTAAGGCTGTACAAATGTTAGATTGTTTTATGAAATCAGGATTGCTTTTATGGATTGTTCTATTACTAACAGGCCTTGAATGTCATTTGCACAATACTATTATAAAGCTTTTGTAAATAGAGAGCCTTTTAATATAAGTATCACCGAAGATAAGTTTATTATCGAAACCGTTTTTTTAAAAAGTGGAATTCTGGAACTGGCTCTTACATATAGACTCAGCTCTTGTATTTCCAACCTGACTCTGCCTTCTTCTTTGTTAGACATCACTTGTTTTCTTGAGATACATTTTCATTTAGCGAGATGTACCTCTTCTGAAAATTAGTAACTAGTGTGAGCTGTTAAGCCTTCTTTGAATAATCTGCTATATGTGCCATGTATCTAGTTTCACAGAAAGTTCTAAAATTTCATGGGTAAAGCAAGGTTTGGCCTTCTGAATTTATTGGGGACTTTTTATGCTTAAATATATATATAATGAAAGGCCTCCAGGGGTGTGTGTCACAAGTTTAATTGGCTCAAAAGAAAATGTCAACCTCTTTCCAGAGAAACCAAAACAAAACTGGAAGTGGAAGTCTCTTCTGGTTTTTGAAGACCCACACCAGGTTTTGACACTTTCTAAAAAATAATGTGGGTGGGTGCTAGGAGCAAAAGTATGTCCAGCAGTTTTGCCAGAGTTGCCCAGCCTTAATTTATACAAACCTTTCTACACTTCTTACCTTTCAGAAGACTCTTCTTTCTTTTTGCTTACATTTCCATCTCAATCCTTCCCTGCAAACAAATCCAGTTTTCTAAGACAACCTCAAACCATTAATAGGAGTCGTGGTTTGTTTTGGTTTAAGAATTCCAGCTTTTTGAAACCATAGTTTTGGGTTAGGGCAGCTATTTTCTTTTGTGGGAGGTGCTGCTTGCAGGTGGTAGGAGAAGAACAGACAAGAAAGGGCAAAAACAATCTGCAGTTTTGTCTGTGGGACAAGTGCTGCACAAACCAACAAACCATGGCTAACATAAACCATGATGCACCTGTTGAGAGATCTGAAGTCTACAGAAATTGGGAACTGTGGGGATCTGTTTATAGGTGAATAGTGCTTTGTGTTTATACTGTGTAAAATTTAAGTGTGAGGTATGTTCAGCATGCTTCAAGCATCACCTGAGAGACGTATAGGTCTTATTCAGAAAATATGCTTAATACAGTATATGTGCTTTTGACAAAGATATATTGATTGTGCTAGAACAGGGAACCATTGCTTTCTTCTTCCTTTTACCAATCATCGGCTAACTACCCACTTCTTTCTTTTAGCTGAAAATTCTTGTGATGTTTTTATTGGCATTTGGAACCCCTATACAGTAAATTTGTCATGCAGATCTGATGAGTTCCCCCCTTCCTTGTGATGTACCATTTCTTGGTAAGCATTATGAAGGACTGAGAAGCAGCAGCTCTGTTTTAAAATCTAAATTAACCTATCGCTTTTGTCTTATATATTCCACTCAGAATTATGTTTTATTGATGACTGGAATATATCTAGTACAGCCAGTGATCACAGAAATGCATGGTAATAATGCTCCCATAGAGATTATCTCCTTTTCCCACAACCCCCCAAAAAGACCCCACTCTACACCGTTCTGTTATTTAAAGGAACATGAGTTAGCGCCACTGGATTGCTGTTAGGTTTGGGAGTCCCACAATACCTGGCTGAAGGAGCTTTTTGAATCCCGACTACTCTGTATAAATATCTAAACATGACAATGGAGAGTGCTTTGAAGGACTGAGGTACTTCAGCGGTATGTGTTCTGTATGTTGAGTATTTAAAAGCCATCTTTTACAAGAAATAACTTTAAAAACTGATATTTTCAGAATGGAGACTTCTATTGTTCATGTCTGCATTTGGGCAGCATTTTCTAGTTGACTGATTCTGAGGAACAAATGTACTGTATTATTAGTTGCAGACTTATTCTTTACTGGTGAGTTTTTAAAAATACGTTTCTTGTATATGCAAACTCTCTGTATTTTAATTTAGGATTAGTTTTAAGATGTATTTTTAAATTTTATTTTATTGTATATAAAACCTACCTCTTCTAGCACAGAGATGTCAATGTGAATTCCAGCAACTGCTTTGGAAAACAATTTTTCTATCTCTGTTCTTGTTTTGCATGAAAATATACTCTGTTCTTCAGCATTACCTACAGTAAATATTTGCTTTTGACTGTCAGTAATATTTGTTAGAGTGTACATTTTTATTTAATGTTTTTTTTAATTAAAAGTCGTCTTATACCCCTGTTGCTTATTTCTATTAATCTCTAATACTGTCATTATAGAGCATTATCATTGAGGGCTTTCTGCAACAACTGTCCTGTAAGTACCAGTAAATAACTTTAATCGTATGGGTCTACTCAGAATTAAATCCACGTATTTCAGTGAGACTTACGTCCAGAGAGGCAGTGTTAACATACATTTTCCACCTACAATACTAGTTTCTGGAACTCAAACATAGACTTACATTTGACTTTACTAGTACAGTGGACCCTTGACTTACAGACGGCTTGACTTACAGACTTCCATAGAGGAGTATTAACATACATTTTCCACCTGCAATACTGGTTTCAGGAACTCAAACATAGATTTACATTTGACTTTATTTACTAGTACCATGACTGCACTAATATTTATTTTATTATTAGCACAGAAGCCTACCCATTTCTTTTTAGCTATTTGACTCAGAAACAATTCCATTTTCTTGTATTTTTTCACAAGAAATCACATTACCAAAGACAAGGTAGATATGTTGCTTTACTGATTGTATATTGTGCGGCCCCAAGGTACAGTGGTGCAGGGCTATCTATACTAAGACATTTTGAAACTGAGTGCCTGTCTTACCAAATTCAAAGTACAGTATAGGTGGTCAGCAAAAGTTATGCAAGCGCCAGCCCCTGCACCTGAATCTCAAGGTCAGTGTATAACCACATAATAAATAGGGAAATTACTTTAAATAGCATGGACAAGTTTCTAAACCTATTAATTTAGTTTAGATCCAAAGTTTCATTAATGATACTGCTGTAGATCATTTAAGGATTATCTATTCTGCTAGAATACTGACAGAAGAGAATTTTGAGGTAACATGAGGTAAACGTTACTGTAAGTCTGTAATTTAGTTTAGATCCAAAGTTTCTTTAGTGATACTGCTGTATATCATTTAACGATTATCTATTCTGCTAGAATACTGACAGAAGAGAAAATCTTTTTTTTTTTGCTTGAGTCTGAGTTTTGAGGCAACATGAGGTAAACATTGTTACTGTACTTTACAATATTTTTGAGTTTTTCCCTACAAGTGCTTTCTTTCTCTTTCTGCAGCTTCTTTGTTACTCCAAGTCCACTGAGTGAGAATTTTTCCAGAGAGAGCACGCTTCATGAAAGCAGCTAGAAAATGCTATGCAGCTATTTCTTCTTTAATGTGTCCTCTGCCATCAGGAAAAAGTAGTGATGGATAAACAAGGGAGGTTTACAGTGGAGAATGTTTTCTTAAGGTCTCCCTAAAATTTAGTGAATGAGGAAAGTGGGATCTATGATAAGAATTTAAATCCAGAAGTTTTCTGAGGCCAGCCCCTTACAGAAATAGCTCCGCTGTTTCTTCACTGGTGCCCAGTGCCAACCGACATTAAAATTTCAGCTATTTCTCCATTAATTACTGTAAAAACAAGCAAAGAATTTCAAGGCTACATCCTGTGCCTTTGAAGACGAGCATATTTGCTTAGAAATGAGGCATGTGATGTTCAGTGAGGTTTTTCTCTCAGGTATCTCTACAGGATGTCCGCTTAAAAGCAGTTACCGAAACCCCCAGTTTTCTTAAACAACCAAAGCTTTGTGCATTTCCCAAACCGGGGTAAGAGACAAGTGGAACAGCGTCAAGCGACAACACAGAGACGGAACGTGAGGCCCTCCATGTTGGGACTACAACTCCCAGCATCCCCCACGATTTAGGATGGGAATTAACATTTGGAAGTCACCCATCCCTGTGCCCCAAATTCGGACTAAACGCGGGGCTCTCATGACCGCCTGCTGTTTTTGGCTAACGAGAAACGAAGAGGGCTCCGGTTTCCGACGGAAAGCGAACCTCGCCGCACAGAAGGGGCGGAGCTACTCGCGGCGCGCCCCCCCCCTTGAGCCCTAGAACGAGGGAGTGGGCGGGGCGGATGAATTCCACTTGCGCAGTGCGCGACAAGAGTGCGCTTACTCGTTCTGAAGCGCCTGCGCAGTCCAGTGGCGAGCTTTTAAGTTCTAGCGGGGTGGGTGAGGGAGAAGTTTCCCCGCTCCGCTGCTGAGGACAATTAGCGATGGAGGGAGGGGCGGCCGCCCGGTGGCTGCGGCTGCGGCGCCGCCGCTTCTTCTGGACGCTTTGTCTGCCTTGTCTCTTCTTGCTGTGGGACTGCCCGGCGACGGTCGCGAAGGAGCCTGTGCCGCCTTCGCCGGCTCCCGTTCTGT